GCGTTGCCACTTAAGCCATTGAGCAAATGGGTAAAAGCGACAGCAGCAGCAGCACAGAAAAACCTGAAGGATCAACACAATCAGCTTCTCATGGAAGGGAATGTTCCCTTTGATACATTCCATGATTATCAGAAATCTGACTGCAGGTATTCCCAAGGTTTTAAAGGCTTCTTAAGAGCATCACAGGCAAACAAGGGCAAACCCCAGCAATTTAATGCCTTTTTAGGGCATACAAAGAACAAAAAATGTACTAGGAAAGAAAAGTAAAGGCAGAAGACATGGCACCTAAAATTCTATCTGGTTTTATGGTACATCAGAGCATGTTCTCATCACACACAATACACAACTGTCACTAATGACTGTCATGTCCAGGCATTCCTTCACCACTCACAGGGCAAGTTCTGCATGCCCAGCAGTTTTTCTGTGTTTTGCAACTTCTGTCCTCAGAGCTGCTCTTACTCACTGAAAGAGGAGCTGGCTGAAGAACCACTTTTCGGTTTTGTACGCTGGAAAAGGGAGATTCCAATAGTGCTGCTTTCCTGATTAATTTACTTAGCAGTGTGAGAAGTAGGAGTGTGATGCACACTTCATAAAGATACTTTGTTAGGTTTCTTAATCCAGGCATTACTCAAAATTAGAGAGCAAAGACTCAGTGCTGAGAAACTGTGTGAAGTTAGAACTTTTTTACCTGACCTTTAATGATGAGTTTACTGTGTCAACTGTACTTTTGATATTTCACCAATTTTGACACTTGAGCAACTTTGAGAGTGTGCCTTGCAGTTACTTTATCTTGCTATTACTTTCTGCGACGGCTAAGAAAATGCTAACCGGTACCCTGCACAAGTCATCATTAGCGTTTCAATCCCTTTTTGATGACTAATACATATTCCTGGAACTGTTAGAAGTGAGATAGAGACCCAAACAAGCAAAGTATAAGAAACATTATGAAAAAATGTAACCACATTTTTTTGAAGTTAACCTTTGTGTTAAAGAAAAGAGACTTTTCCATTGAGCCAGGGTAAGTGTCAATCTTCTAAACAGTGTGAGATTAAAACCCCTATGGACCTTTATGATATTTGTAATTTTATGTTGCATCTGCATAGCACTACTGCTACAGTACAATATTGCAGATATTTATATACATGCTATACTGTAATAATGCAGATATTCACCAAAGCGTGTCTCAGTTACACTTCTGTTTTAGTTGAAACATACATCGAAGGACTTTTAATGAGATGGGTACATGAAAACATCTACAGCACATCTGCAGTCAGCAATGTGCAGAGGCAAACACCATGTCTGACCTGACAGAGGGATTTCCACAGCTCTGTCCAATGCCATCACATCAGCCTGTCCCGAGCACAGCCCAGACAGACCAGGCATATCCCTTCCCTTCGTTACCTGGGAAGAGGATAGTATCTGAAGAGAAAATGGCATTTTAACAATAAATCTAACGTTATGAAGCCTGGAAAGAGCTAACCCATCTAGCTGACAGCTCACTTCATTAAGCATAGGCTCAGCTAACTCAGAAAGCAAGTAAATACTGCTTAGTCCAATTGCGCTTTTAATTATTCAATATAACCACTCAATAAAAGCTCCATTTAACTCTGCTAAATTAGTCCAAGCTGGTAAGTAAAACTATACTGACCTGCTAAGGAAGTAGAACTTAAAAACAAGTATATATTACTCTGCAAATTATCTGTTGGGTAAGAGGCAGAAACAGTATTTTCATGAATTACAATGAGATAGGATTTCAACTCGACTATAAACAAGGATCCTAGCTGAAGATGTCAAGCTGATGTGCAAAATTATGTCAGTAAAGAGTGGTGGCAGTCACCATCTCCTTCTATACAGTACAGAATAGTAAGCAAAGAAGCATACAAAAGTAATGCCCATCCATCCCTACATTCACAAAGCTCCATTCCAGGCATTTAAGCCCTTCAATTACCAGCATGAATGGCCATGTCTACAAAAATGCAAACCTTTGCACTAATTTCTTGGTGACTGCTGTTCCTCCTGGTAGGGATCAGTGTGTCTGTCTGCCATGGGAACAATAGGAAGCAGAGAATTTTCCTAAAACACACCCTAAAGCATTTAGACTGCTGTAACCTCAGGGAGAAGGAGTTGCAGCGCTTGTAGAACAGCTGGGTTGTATTTCCTTCGTAAAAATTTATCAACTAAAAGAGATGAGGGCTTGCTCCAAGTGTGATACTTTCAGGCGATGGAAATGATAATGGGGATTGTTTACTTTAAAATTACTCAAAAAAACAGTTTAAAACTAGATACAACAGCACTGACCCTCACATAGCCTAATCATGCATCAAATCCAGGGAAACCTACAGCAAGTTACATTTCTAATCAATCACTGAATGTTGAAACATTTCAGGTGAAACAACGAAGAGAATACAGATTTTTTCAGACCTTTGTTAATATTTTTTTTAAGTATTAAGACAGTAATACGGAGTTTGACATTTATCATCATTGCTACTAGTAGCACCTAGAGTGAGGCTAGTTCAAACGTTTTCAATACAATTACAGCAAAAGTTGTCTCATTTTAAAAGGCTCCATAGCATCAACACAAAAGTTGCAGCTGTGGCAGTCCAAGACTGTAAGAAAAATGGTACTTAAGGAGATGTAATCCGCTGAAATAGGCTGATACTTGGTTTATTTAACTGGTCCCCATCCAGTACCTAACCAAGCTGAAAGTAGGACTTTTATGTCAAATCTGTCTATTTTTGCCTACATAACATGGACTAGAAAGAAAAAAGTCCTTGTAACGTAAAAATACTTCAAGTTGAGTTCCATGTGTTAGACACTAATTCAAAGTAAGCACTACTTGGGCAGGGAAGCAAGGCAGCAGGAGCAGCCCCATCAGCTCTTGCCAGCAAGGTGAAGGGCAAAGCCTCTGCTGGCCAAGGTGCCCTCCAAGGTACGGTGACACCACCTGGGTGAGCTGCACTAAGCCCAGGGAGGACTCGGCCTCGCCCCCACGGAAACCCTGCAGAGCCACCACAACATCAACACCTTTACCATCAACACCTCCTGCAGCCGGCAAACCTCCACTGCGAAGCACCACCTAAACAAATGCTCTACTAGTCTTAACGTTAAAGACTGTATCCAAATAAACGTAAGGGCAATAAAGTTTACAAATTTGGGGACAGTGGTGTGGGTTTTTTTCCATTTATAAATACTGTTTACAATGTTAAATGTCATTAGAGGCAAGTATTTAATCACAAAGCATGCAAAACTGAAGTCTTGTTTGCAGGTAAATATTTTCCTTGGTCAAACTGAAACTTTCTACACTGATCTGTATCAGCTAAGATAAACTCTAGCCCAGATCTAATTAGATAGCTAAGATCTCCCTGAAGGGACATGTCATGACATAAGCCTTTGCCTTAGCTTTAGTTATAAAAGGCTAATTAAATACAAGTAGAAAAAAAATTAAGTCATCTCTACTGACACTAAACAAGCTTTTTCAAAAATCTGATTAAGCTGCCCATCAGCAGTGATATCCTGTATGTTAAAAGGGAGTGCTGAATTAGGAACTTATTTTTAGCTTTGGCAGGAAATGAGTAATTGGACATATGCACAATGTGTACATACCTGTACACAAAACAACTATAATTAAAGACAAGGTTGAGCAGTTCCTATAGAAAAGCATATCACCAGAGGACACTTTTAAAATAAACACAAAGTTATCCTTCAAAACCCAAAACCTCAACTGAAACACATTACTGTTAGTGCAAAGCCTTAATCTCCTTCAAATAGAGCAAGAATAAGCATGCATGGGAAAAAAAAAAGTCTCTACAGCTTAATCTCAGGCTTTTTCCTACTTGTTAACACTGCAAAGTTGCTAAAAGCCCTCAAGGCAAGGAGCTCTCAAGGATGGATGAGGTTAGAAATTTCACAAGCACAAAGCACTTGTTGATTCTTCATCATAGCAGTTTCTTATCGCTGTAAGTTTGCTTGCCAGCGAACATAAATTCCTCAGAAAACTTTATATAAAGGTACATTAGGTTTAATGACATTGATAGGAATCAAGTTTTAAATCAGCAGAATATATTACACTGCTAAGAGTATTCAAAGCCACATTTTCTTTTAATTACGCTTTCACTCTTATTCAGCAAAATCCTCAGTCTTGTATTGAGGTTTTGTTAACATTATTTTCTAAGATGCAGAAAAAAATTAAAGTAGAACACATTAATTAATAATGTATTTCTTGCACCTCTTTCTGCTGGATTTCTAGACAAACCTCAAAGGTAAGTCCATCATGCCACACTCAGCTGTGAAATTCAAGATATGCCTCCAGTTCAAGTCTGAGACACTGCTGTATTTTTTCACAGACATTCAGAGAAACGCTTCATAAAGCCACTAAAGTCCACAGAAATGCTTTAACATAAACGTCTAACCAGTAACACAGTTGCAAGTTACAGCCACAAAAATTGCTCTTGTTTTAAATTTTATTCTGAAGATAAAGTTAAAAATTAGCCTTCTTTTCTACTGTAAAATCCTTTCAAGCCTGAAAAAACATTGTATGAAACACTTGTACTTTTAAAATTTCCAATTCATCCTCCCTCTTTCCCGAGGATTGCAACATCTTGAATTCTAAACCGAATGCTTTGAATTCTGAAACAGATAAAGTACAGTACATTGCTCACTCTAAGAAAGTACTCTATAGCAAGGTCATTCCTTTCTCCCACTAAATACACATGGAAATCTATGCAGTAAATAATGGCGCCTTTTTTCTTTTTCTTTTTAAACAAAGTTTCCTGTTAACCATTATATTTCAGGCCAGAAGTGTGTGTTTTTCTACGTTACATGCTGTGTCCGTATGAAAAACACACGGCACGAATCAGCACACAAAGAAGAGCTGCTCAGTGACATTTGTTTAGCTCATCGTAACACACTTCTCCACCGTCTAAAACGCATTTTATCTTGGATCTGATCTGTTGGCGGGAATTATTTGTTTGGTTTGCCTTTTTAAGACTTAACTAACATACTTTTGGCTGACACAGCTAGCACGCTGGAATTCACTACACTCTTTACGCTCAGGAGAGGCTGCTTTGATAGCACCTGTTTAAAGAAAGGAAACACGCGTTGAACTATTTCATTTTTACGACGGCACTAGTGAAAATACAGCAGGGAAACAAACTGGGTTCTGAAGGGCAAACGCATGTTCCAGGCACGCACACCACACACACACACAGACACACACAGACACACAGACACACACACACACAGACACACACACACAGACAGACACACACACAGACACACACACACACACACACAGACACACACACAGACACACACACACAGACACACACACACACACAGA